TGTCCTTATTCTCAGGTGCATAGCAAGTGATCAGAAAGACTATGGCCTGAATCAGATGCTCTGTAGTCTTCAAACTGACATCATTCCTTACTCCTCAATAATTTGGAGAGGTCCCTAACTGCTGATTTCCCCCAATGCAGTGTGTCTCCTTATTTCTTGACTTTTGGTACCAAGGGTGTTAACTGTGGATCTAAGCAAGATTAAGTTGTTCACAGTTACAATCTCCTCTCTATCCGTCATGATGCTGCCTGTTGGTTTAGTGGTAAGAATCTTTTCTTGACATTGGGATGCAATTCATATTGAAGGCAACATTCCTTGATTTTCTGCAACAAGTGCTTCAAATCCTCCTTACTTTCAGCAAGCATGGTTGTATTATCTGCATAATACAGGTTATTGATGAGTTTCCCTCCAATCCTGATGCCACACACCCAGAGTCCAGGTTCTTGGATAATTTGCTCAGCATACAGATTGAATAAGTATGGAGAGAGAATACAACCCTGACACACTCCCTTCTCAATTTTAAACCATACAGTATTCTCCTGCTCTATTCACACCTCCTGGTCCAGGTCTAGGTTCCACATGAGCACAATTAAGTGCCCTGGGATTCCCATTCTTCTCAATGGCAGTCACAACTTGTATGATCCACACAGTCAAATGCTTTTGCATAGTCAATAAAGCACAAATAGTATTCTTGGTATTGCTTACTTTGAGCCAGTATCCATCTGACATCAGCAATAATATTCTTGGTGCCATGCCCTCTTTTAAATCCTGCTTGAATATCTGGCAGGTTCCTATCTATATACTGTTCTAGCCATTTTTTTGGTTATTTTTATGCTTTATTTTCTCTTCACCATTTTTTAATGCTCTTCAGCAGTACATAGAATCACTGTACCAGAAAGAATTGATGGACACCGAAAATTTTCGGAAGGTACCCTATGATCAGGAGCCAAGGGTAATAAAGGAGGAAGTGGAAGCTGTATTGAAGGCACTGAAAAAAAAAATAAGGCCCTAATTGACTTGTTTCAATTAACAATTGTAGCTTGGATGTTCTCACCAGTCTATGCCAGGAAATTTGGAGGTCAACAGATTGGAAGATATCCATATTTGTTTCTATTCTCAAGAAAGGTGATCTAATTGAATGTGGAAACTATTGAACAATATCATTAATATTACATGTAAACAAAATACTGCTGAAGATCATTAAAAAATGGCTAGAACAGTAGGTATTTGGTACTATGGATATTATTGATGGGGACAATTCCCTTTTATGAAGGAGGTAGAAGTCAGACTCAGCCACTCCCATATTGTATCTGCTCCTTATACACAACGGTAAGTCCTTCAAGCCCACTTTTAGCAGGTGGGGTTGTGTAATTTGCATATCCCAGGTTGCTAATGAGCCTTTATCCAGTGCTTCTATCCATGTTCTTTCTCACTCAATCCAGGTTCTCGGACGCTCAGCCTACACACTGAAGTATGTGAAAGGATCCAACCCTGACACACATCTTTTTTAATTTTAATCCATGCACTATCCCCTTGGTCTCTTCAAGTAACTGTCTTGGTCAACAAAAATAAACCATTAAAGTTCTTGATTATTTATTCTCCACAAAATTATTAATATATTTTATGACCCAAATAGTTGAATGTCCTTCTACTGTCAATAAAACGAAACTCACCATCTTCCTGGTATTCTTTGTTTTCAGTTAATATTCATCTAATATCAGCAATACTATCTTTCCTTCCATGAATTCTTCTGAATCTGTCTTGGATTTGGTAGTTTATACTTACCTCCTGCTGCAACCATTTTTAAAAAATTATCTTCAACAATTTTACTTCATGTGATAGTAATGCTATTGTTCAATAATTTTCACATTCTATTGGCTTACTCATCTTTAAAATGGGCATGAAAATGGATCTCTTCCACTTGATTGGCCAAGTAGATGTCTTTTCAATTTCTTAGCATAGATGAATACTTTTAGCATTGTGATCATATGTGGCAAGACCTCAGTTAGCATTCCATCAATTTCTGGAAACTTCTCTTTCACGAATGCCTCCTTCAGTGCAGCTTGGCCTTCTTCCTGAACTACTACTGCTTCTCCATCATATGATACAGTATACTACGCCAGGGATGACAAATTGATGAGAGGTGGTGTTGCTAAAAGAACCTTTCAGGATCTCTCCTGAAGAGCAGCACTGTCAGCGACAGGATAATAGCCATAAGCCTGCAAGGAAGATTAGCTAGTGTGACCATTATTCAGATTTATGTACCAGCCACTAATGTCAAAGATGAAGGAATAGAAGATTTTCACCAACTTCCGTAGTCTAAAAAATGATCGAATGCACAATAGAGATGTGTTGATAATTACTTGTGATTGGAATGTGAAAGTTGGAAATCAAGAAGGATCAGCAGTTGGAAAATATAATTTTGGAAAGGTCACTGGAGAGCACATGATAGAATTTCACAAAACCAATGACTTTACAATGACTATAACATTGTAAATACCCTTCAGCCACCCGTAAGAACATAAATGACTACTATACATATAGAGTGGTCCTTGACAGCAGATTTCCCCAACTCAACACATGTGGTTTGGTTTTTTTTTTCTCAACACATTTTGATTTCTTGAGTGCTGCTACCATGGGTGTTGATTTTGGACCCAAGCAAGATTAAATCTTTGATATAGTCAGTCTTTTCTCCATCTATCATGATGGTCTGTTGGTCAAGTGGTGAGGATTTTTGTTTTCTTGATACTGAGATACAGTTAATACTAAAAAGTATTAGTCTTTGATCTTCTGCAGTAAGTGCTTCAAGTCTTCTTCACTTTCTGCAAATAAGGTTGTATAATCTGCATAAGACAGATTGTTGATGAGTCTTCCTCCAATCCTGACAGCAGGAAAATCTGCTGTCAAAGACCTCCCTAAAGTACTAAAAGCAGCAATGTCAGTTTAAAGATCAAGGTGCACCTGATCCAAGCCATGATATTTTAAATTACTTCCTATGGATCTGAAGGCTGGGCAATGAATAAAGGTGACAGAATGAGAATCAATGGCTTTGAAGTATGGTGTTGGAAAAGAGTACTGAATAACCCATGAACTGTCAAAAGAACAAACAAGTTTATCTTGGAAGAGCTTCAACCAAGGTTCTCCTTAGAGGCAAGGATGGTGAAACTTGGTGTCACATACTTTGGCCCTGTTGTCAGGAGGGACCAGTCATTGGCAAAAGGTGTCATACTGGGAAAGGTGGAGGGTTAGAGAAGGAGCGGAAGACCCTTAACAAGATGGACTGAGGTAGTGACTGTAACAAAGGGCTGGGGTGCATTTGAGATGTGTGGATAGTGCAGGATACGGCAAGGTTCAGCTCTGTTGTTACTAGTGTCACTTTGAGTCACAGTCGACTTGACAGCACCTAACAGCGACAACATACTTGTGGAACTCACTGATGGCACCTCACTGGATTAAGTCTGTTAAATACATCGTTGGAAAGAGACTTGGAGTAGCTCAGTATCATCAAAGCAAGGCCAAGCTGACTGTGGGAGAGATCATCTATTGTTCATATGAGAATTCAAGTCAAAATAAGAAAATGAAAACAAATCCACAAGAACCAAATACAACCTTGAGTATATCCCGTGTGGATTTGGAGATCATCTCAAGAACAGGTTTTGACTGGAGGTTAGACAGAGAGGTTGTAGGATGACATCAAGGGCCTCATTCATACAGGATGAAAGCAAGGAGTTATTAAAAAGACAGGAAAGGAAGAAAAGACCTAAGTGGGTGTCAGAAGAGCCTCAGAAACTTGGTCTTGAACACAGAGTGGTTAAAGTGAAAGGAAGAAATGATGACATAAGAAAGCGGAAGAAAAGATTTCCGAGGGAAGCTCGAGAAGACAAAGTATTATAATGAAATATGCAAAGACCTGGAGTTAGAAAACCAGAAAAGAAAAAAAAAAAAAAAGAAAACCAGAAAAGATTTCTCAAGCTAAAACCTGAAGAAAACCTCAAGCCTTGACTTAAAATAGTGAAGGATTCTGTGGGCAAAATACTGAAGGAAACAATTAGGAAGGAGTATAGTCACTGCAGCAAAAGCAATTGGTCCATGTCTAACCATTTCAGGAGTGTCTGTGCATCTCCATAGGACATCTCCTTCCTGAGAATGAAATATTCCTGATAAAATGTCCAAGCAGTTTATTGATGAACCGTAGTTATACTGAGCTCTGGTAGACATACCACCATCACCACCACCATACACCACCACCACACC